AAWWWYCTTGATTTTTTTCAGTTTTCTTTYGTGACCTYAAAATTTATCSATTTTTTTATCTGCTATTTCAATTTGTTGTACTAACTGTTATTGTCCACTTTGGATGATTTTAGTTTATTTGACATTTCCGACCGGATTTTATTAGAGCGCAAAGTTTTAAAGTGAATCGCCTTCTATGAGATCAAAATTRAATCTTGAAAAGAATTGAAAACAGCCAAGTATCATCAGTAGTTGTAGACTGAATAATTTCTTCAGTTTGTTTGTTCTTGCGAAAAAAGTTGTATTTTTTTGGCATGAGTTTTTTTGAGACTGCATTTGTTCATTTTTAATTGTCTTTCATCATGAGAATCCATTTCACTTATTTTTTTCATCGTTTTTAGACTTTAATTAAACTATAGGTTGCTCGAAAGKGGCAATTTCGTACTTCTATACCACGATTAACCTTATTATAACTCATTCATTTGAAATGTTTCATTTAGAAAAAAAACATGCATATTCAATCCTTTCTATCGAAACAACAATTACTTTATGATCTATCATCGAGTCAAGTGCATTTTGGAACATCTGTGACATCGGCATCCAATGTATCTCAGTCGTTTCATCACTAGTGCGCGCGCGATCGACGACTCGTGAAAGCAGTCCATAATATAACGAAATAACGGACGCGCAATAATCAAACTTAATTTCTAGCTTTGATGATTCTAATCTAATCGGAGAACTGGCAGTATACCAAAAACACTTAAATTCAATATGTACAATACTTTATGATTTTTAACGAGAGAAAACAGGAAAACACTTTTTGCCATCAGTTCTATAGCGGACGCATGGTTAGCTTTATACGGCAGTTATCTTGGGCAGGTTAATTATTTTAAAACATAAACCCAGGCGAACCTAGTCCACTTTTTGTAGCTTTTTGCAAATTTTYTGGTGGGATAAGACTTTTTTATCGTTTTAATGAATTGACATCCACCTGATCTGATAGAGAACTAGAACACGCCAGCCAAGAGAAAAATGCTGATACTCCTACTTTGATAACTTGTACCTCATCTTAAGTAAATGATCTTTTAGTCTTTTTGTAAAAGCTAGAATTAACTTTTATGACAAGAATATGTTTTTTACGTTGGCGCAATCGGTTTATAAACCTTCCGTTTTATCAATAGTATCAGTGTTGCTCAATTTGTAAGTTGTGCGTGGGAATTATCCTCTTAGTTCTCCGTTTACTTTGCCGCATTAGTAAAAAAAGCCTCTAATTCCTGTATATATTGGGTGAAAGTTTCAATTCCTACCTGTATCTGGCATTGAGGAAACTCCTCTATCCAACCATTATCCAAAATTAGGCCCCGGAAAACKATAGAACTAGTAGACAACACTCCAGCAAAGTCCACCCACGTTAACGCGGCTACTATTACTAAAGTCGAAGTCCTGCCAGTGATGAACTCCTTTCCTAGAACCAAAACGGCTGTAAAACATCCAATAATCCCTATAGACGCTACTATGATAAAGGAAACAGATCCTGCATTTTCTCTATGGTAATTTGAAGACAGCGAAGAGTTGTTGGTTTGGTTGATATTCTGGTGAAGCAAATTTGCGCAATCCATATTGAAGCGTTGTCAATATACCATAACGTTTCTGGTTTCAATTATTTTTTAGTGCTTGATGAAGTTTTATCACAGTTGAGTTCCGCACAGAGAACACAATTCGAAATGGCGATCCCACAACTATAAAAACGATGATTTTCTATATGATTGATGTTGGTCACAAAGTTTTAAGTCAATAAAAATATAATCTGATTGAAGATCGCTTCTCCAAGTTATTTTTCGATCTGATTTGCGGGCAACTTCACTGAATTTCTCTTGAAGACGTTTTTAGTTTCAATYAATTCTTGTCGTTGAAAAACCATTCAATTAGAAGATGTCTAATTCTATTAGACTTTCTAAATTGCTACACTGGTTTTAAGTGGATATGAGGAAATTTTTCTTGTAATTTTTGTCGACTGCCCAACAATGAGCTGGAAGTGCTTTTCTCTTGGGAATTAAGAAAATTAGTATTGAAGTGATGCCGTTCGAAGTCTCGGACGATGACCTGCAAAAACGTTGATTTGGTGAACAACCAAAGTCAATTCAGTYGCGCATATCTCGTTAGCCGAATACACTAGCCTCATAGGGTCCTCAAAAGAGCCCAGAATGCATGCTGTAGTGGGTCGAGAGACTTGTCCTCACTTGTGTACTAAACCTCTCTACTAAGAACAACAGGTACATGTATATAGAAGCAATTTACATTTTACTGGTTCTATATTTGCCTTCTCAATATCTTAAAATAAACACGTAAAGTGTTTTAATTAAAGAGAATATAAGTCATTAAAATCCGTTGTAATAACCGCTTACATTAATATTTTTTTCAGAGCTTATACTTTCCGGCTGAACTATATTGCGTACAATGTTTCGAAGTAGTTACAGTAACTGGTAAAATTATTATTACTTTTATATAAAAACAAAAAAAAACAAAAACAAACAAAACTCAAGTGCAGCGAAAGCTACAAAAAGAGAATTCACTGCAAGGATAAGTTTGATTAGAAAACGTCATAGGATACACAGGTTGCARTATTCAGTTGAAAACAATATGTGTAATTTTTTGTCAATGCTWTAATTGATTTAAACTTTAAAGGAAAAATTAATTACTGAGAATGTCCGAAATGTACATCCTTTTTTAAATTGAAAATATCATCATAGCCTTCGATATTCGCAGGGAAAAACGCCTAAAATAATTCTAAATTAGACCATGCCATAGTTCTGACATTATCTTAATGTAAAAATGCCATCCCTTTCTTTGTGAACAATAAAGGTTCTAAAATGACCGAAGTTTGCTTAGCGCAAGGGTTGACAAGCTACATCCGTCAGGAACTGATGTTTTGAGAACTCAAGATTAAGCCATCGAGGAACATTAGAACATGTGTGTCAGTTTCTGTTATTTACTCTTTTCGCAAGGAAATTAAAGGGATGTTTTTCTTTGGAGATATATGGCCTCTATTATATCGCTTTATTGATTTCGGATGGAGAGACTGCAGATARTTTATCAAATGCCAAGTTCTTTTTAAATAGTGTTTACCGGTCTTATAGTTGATCCAGTTTCAGGAGTATAGTTAGCACTAGAATTCTAAGGCGAAATTTGACCATGCGGTGGTGAATTTAATATAATAATATTTATTTCAAATTCTAGTCGCTTCTCTCGTTTAAGCGCTGCGCCCCGCGAACTASCTTTGAAAGACTGTAAAATCAATTTTAAAATCGAAGTTTTTTTGTTTGTTTTTTTAAAGAGAGAAAGAATGCAAGATCAACGCTTTTCTTAGAACGAAACTATTACTACGAAATGTTTGCGCGCAATATTCTGTGCTTGGTCAGTTTGAGCACCCAGCAAAATTTGATTAGATATCGATCTTTTATGTTACGCATTTTCCATAAAAGTGGAGGGTAAATATAACGAGCTTTTCACTTCTCAAGTGTTTCTCAGTCACTTGTTTTGATTTCTTAATGAACAGAAAATGCTTTCAAGAACTTGACATCTTTTGGTCTTCGCTATTTGCTCATTTTCGTCAAATMTGTCMTCATTGCTTTCGCAYAAGTAAATATTTTTCCGCAAAAGTTTGTTTTAAYGAAATCAGCTTGGAGTAATTAATGGTTGTCACTGAGCATCAATCATTCTTTGRATCAACATACGGGATTCCTGTGTTTYAGTGCGCTCTAAATGCATGCTGGGATTTCGGCGCCATTTTGAATTTACATTCGGCAGTTCAGTTAAGTTTTTAGTTTGCTCAAGTTGTTTACCTWAATCGCGTCWWATATTTTATATAAAGAATGAGTTGCTCTGGTTCAAAGTGGTTTAATCCTGCACAGGTATTTGCTCAATTCACTACTTCAGGCGAAAAAGATGCAAAAAACTCGACGAGAATAAAGTCAGACGAAGACGAAACACCAAAACAACTTCAGCAATCATCAAGCAGACGAGAAATTCAAATTACAGAATCTGCMGAAGTTTCTCTTCCTCCTGACAAGGCCAGAGTATCGATAATTTGTGCTAACAGTAAGGTAAGTTGATAAAAAACAAGTGTACRCAAATTTGATGTATCTTTTATGTTGTCTAAGCTTATATTTTAATTTCTTTAAATTTGCAGGAGACAGTTGAAGATGTAAAAACAAGCGTCAACAGACGAGTTTATTATGTTATCCACACGCTCAAATCCCACCATGTCAAAGATAATTCATACCACATAAACAGAACCTTATCAAGAACGGAAAAYATTTACAATTATCAAGTGGAAGTAGTCGTAGAGTTCACTGATTTTCTAAAATGTGAAGAAGTTTGCAACATACTTGTGGAAAAGTTGGATGAGTCAGTGAGAGTTTCATCACCAGTATTCTATCATTCTCCATCAAAGCTTGAATCTTTACGGTAAGGCATTTTAGGCAACTAACTAACCTGGGTTTGGGAGTCTCAGTTACAAAAGTGGTAGAGGTTTTTGACAGACATTTTGGGCAGTAAGGGGATTCCCCTGCAGAAATGGTTGGTGTTGAATATAAGTAGCCAAAACTCCCCATTAATAACAAATCCACATGCAACTGATGTGATCACCCTGAGCTTTATGATAAATAAAGGCAGCCTGCTTTCAGGCTAACCAAAACTGCTGTTGTCTGTGTTGCTGAACACTGGATAAACATTATATTTTAGGTTCAGGGAATGAATATCTCATAAATGATTAAACATTCTTATATATTTTAATATATTATTTTAATAATCAAAATTCCTGATTATTACTAGATGTCAAGCTTGTGTAAACGCTGTCAAGAATGCCAAAAATAAAGCTTTACAAGTGGTTCAGATGTTCAACCAAATTCTGGGTCCTCCGATCAATATCAGAGARGAYCGATTTGAGGAATATACAGGTCAAKCTTATGAACAACACCRCATTGGCGATGAAAAGACCGAAATACTCTCATATAMTGACAAAATTGCTCAAGCAACTGTTACTGTTTCTGTAAAAGTTTTTGTTGTCTTTGAAATCAAGGAGAAAGCAAAGATACACAAGAGAAAAAAGTGACAGCTGAAATGTCCAGTCCTGTGTACATTGAATTCCCAASCCCTTCCCTCCTGTGGACAATAATGTGGGAGTATTTTTACTCACAGGGGGGAGGGTTGGGGAATGGACAAAAATGAATAGAACAAATAGTAGAAACTGCCAGCTCAACCTACATTTATATCTGAAATAACTATGCATTTTGAGCTTCAAAGGGCCATGTTCAACCGCCATTCAATGCGGTCTTTTCTAGATTTTACATAAGTATCAAAAATAAGTTAACTTCAAATATTTATTCTCAATCCATTTCCATCTGTCCATTTTATGATGGTATCTTAGAACATCTTCATTCATAGAGCATAAATAGATAATATTATTCTAGAAATGACATTACTTATAATACGATTAGTTTAGTTTTATTTTTAAACATAAACAAAATCTCGAAAGAGATACCGGTTGATCATGGCGTTTTATTTTTCAGCCTACTTAGTATTTTAAAATCTAGTTATGGAAATAAAAGAGATTGAAACATAAATGTCAAAAAAATTCACTGCCGGTTAGTCTTGATCAGGTTTGATGACGATCTTCATGTCAAAACTGTTGTCGAAATGTCGGAGGTTACAACATCAATGCGTCGGACGTAATTGACAAGTTTGTTGTTTGTGGGTTTTTTAATAAGCCTTTGTGTCGAAAGGTTGTCGAAATGTCGGAGTTTACAACATCAATGCGTCGGAGGAAATTAACAAGTTTTTTGTTTGTGTTTTTTTTAATAAGCCTTTATGTCGAAAGGCTGTCGAAATGTCGGAGTTTACAACATCAATGCGTCGGAGGAAATTAACAAGTTTGTTATTTGTGAGTTTGTCAGATACGACTTCATGTCGAAAGGCTGTCGAAATGTCGGGGGTTACAACATCAATGCGTCGGACGAAATCGACTTGTTAGTTGTTGAAGAGTTTTAAATAAAACTTAATGTCGATCTTCAATTTGAAAGGTCGAAATGTTGGATTACAATATTAATCGGCGTGGGACGGAATCAACTACTTGTGACTGCGTTAACGTCAATCTTTCATTTCGAAAACAAGTCAATACGTCACGTGATGAGATTGACTTGTATATGTTGTGCCCTTTCTCTTGAAACCTTGCGCGTTTYTCTGTCTCAGTTTAGGTGATTCACTGTGAAAATCTCCTAATTAACTTTGTTTCACGTACGGTTTTGAAACGACTGTTGAGTGATACTTGAGTGGTTTTTCCAAACCCGTGAAACACACACACAAAAAAAAAATTGCACAATTGAAGTACAGTGTAGTGCACTAAAGTGTATTTCACGTGTTTACCGCTCTATAAACCCATGAAACAAAATGCAGTTCTATAATTAAAGTGTGCTCTTTAAAAATAGTCCAAAAACGAATCGAAACAAAGCAGAAGCATGCTATTAGAGCCCAGCTTAACAGCCATTTCACRTAATTTTGAAGCTCAATCTGACTATCAGTGAATAATATTATGTAACAACAATTAGAATTTTTTTTATTAAGGCAAAGAAAATTTAGTGCTCTCGCTCAAATGACGCTGAACTTCATGTCATCGTTATTGCAGAATTTACATCCTGTTGTGCAATTAGAAGGCTACCGCAAATTACATTTCAAGAACAGCCAATCACAATGCTTGATGATTTGACAAACAAAATAAATGGTTGAAGGTCATTTTTTCATTGCATGGCGGCGGGGAATCTTTTTTTTTCTATTTTGGTCACATAGAAACAAATCAAACCTATTAGTTATGAACATATGTTATAATTTGAATCAATTTTGCAGTAAATCACATTTAACTTCTTGCATCGTCGTATGGTGCCGTAAGTTTGGATGTCATTTACACTGAGAAATAAATTAAATTAATTGTTTTTTGTAAGCGGCTGTGTTTCTTTGATGGACTTACACAACAAAATCACACGCTTATTTGCATCCGAATAAAACATGGCACTTGAATTGGCAATGTTTAACCAAACAATTAACCAAAAGGGCCGTGTATAGTTAGGTCAGTTAGGATCCTTTCAACTGGCCGGCAGTAATATTGAATCTGCTGTGTTAACATGGACCAATCTAACTTTACTAAGGAAAACAGTTACTGCAACGACCAACTTGAGTCAGAAACCGTGCGGACCGCTAAACTAATAGCAATTTCGTTTCTGTTCGCATTTGGTATATTTGGCAACGTTCTCACCATCGTTGTGGCTGGTAAATACACCAGGAAAAAAAGTCTTCACTTTTTAATCATCAATATGGCCGTTTCAGATATCCTTCTTTCTACGATGATTCTATGGTGTTACATCACAGAGTACTACCTTCTGGTCAACATCTGGGACGCCATAGATAGCACACTGGGCTCTGTTCTTTGCAAATGCAAGTTTCTTTTTACTGTGGGATTTTATTTCGTATCGTTATTTACTTTAATGATTATTAGTTATGAACGTTACAGAGTTACCAGGAGAAATGCTATGGTAACACCGTGGCTATCGGCGAAACAACGCGGGACTGTCATCGCCGTTTCTTGGCTGATACCCATCTTCATAAATTTAGACAGCCTAATGTTTAATCAATTGGCCAAAGTTAACGATTCGTTGCAGTGCCGGTATAGTTTAAACCGCTTAGCACAACTTATCGCCTCTGTCTTACAATTATCTATAATTATCATCTGCTATTTTCTAATGGTTTTCTTGAATATTCTAACTTTACGAAGGCTGGCAAAYCCACTTGCCATTGAATACAGCCTTTCTGAAGCGCAAAGACAGCAAAGAAGAAAGAGAATGAGATCGGCGATCAAAATGGTGCTGTATTCCATATTCCTTCACTCCGTTTGCTACATTCCAGATTATKCTATGAACATTCTGGATTTCCAAACGTCTTATAWTTCTTCCKCAAACACTGAGTCGACTCTGGTCTTAATTTCTTATCTTCATTCTAGGTGCATTGATTGGGCGACACTGTTTTTCTTCTGCTTTTACTTCCTTCAACTTGTAAATTCTTGTCTTRGTCCAATGATATATTTTGTCTGTCTGTCCGACTTCCGTGAAGCAGCCAAGAGATTGCTGTGTGGTACAACGGAAGTGCGCCAGTCGAGCTCAGGAGGAAACTCGGTTCAACCGAGTGTTGTTCAAATACAGACTCGAATGTAGCGCGGCCGTCTTTAACTTGCGGCAGTGGCTGCGCGGGTTTAGAATAGTTTGATGAGTACGGACTTGTGCGCGTCATGTCAAATCCAGCTAAATTAAACTTGAGGAATGTGGTTTTTAATCACATTTGGGACGATGCACGAATACTCTTAACATCCGCGCGATGTTGCAAGAAAACGCGCGCAAAAACGATAGATTTGGCTATGTAGCAAATGAAGAAGAAAGCAGACTGTTGTACTGTGTACACGTATTAGTTGTGGATCCACATTTCTTTGTTGCCCAATACAAGCCGAAAGTTCAAAACATTCAGAAAAGTTTGCAGTCTTTTCCATTCCAGTCTTCTCGCACTTCAATGTGCAAAATACAGTTAAATTCATTAATTCTTCGAGTTATTGAAAAGAACTAAGGCTAGAAACCCTGAATCGATCAAAAACGACAGAGTGATTGATACCAGAAGCCCATTACTAATAAGTAATGGGCTCCTGTTTAAATCTCAAATACACGAGGAAAAGACGGAACAACACCTCGTCGAATCGATTTACGTAGAGCTTGATGGAACACAAATCATGCTGTTTGTTTAGTGACAAAAATGTCTCTCATCGTTATTGATCATCTTTAATTCTGATTATGATTACTTGTAATAGATTAACGCAGAAAATTTGTCATTAGATTTGAAAAAAAAAATTAACAAATACTGCGATAACCACGTTGGTTGGGTTCCCTGTGTTCTCTCCCCATTCCCCACTCGGTACTACCGTTAACAATATCGGGCATGGATGTTGACAAAGTGGACAACATGGCTTCAGTTTTGCTCGAAAAGGAATCCAAAAATACAGAAAGGTCTACGAGACAAAGCGTAAAAGCATTCTACGATTACTTAGCAAAGAAAAATCTGAGCGAACCGCCAAGTGACAAAGGAGGCCTTTGTGGACTTCTGAAATCCTTTTATCAAGACGTTCGAAAAACTGATGGTAGCCATTACACCAAAAATTCTTTACAAAGTTTAAGATATGGTCTTTGTAGGCATTTTAGGAGTATTCGTGAGATAGATATCATAACTGATGTAGCTTTTACCGAAGCAAACAAGAGCTATCAAGCGCGATGTATTTTTTTGAAGGATCAAGGGCTGGACAAAGTTGATCATAAACCACTTCTCCTTGAAGATGACCTGATAAAATTGTACCAAAGTGGAGTTTTTGATACAAGATATCCTAGGACGCTACAGAACAAAGTGTTTTTTGAAATTATCTTGTTTTTCTGTCGTCGTTATGGACAAAACCCAAAGGACTTGAAATCTAGTGACTTTGAGTTTCGTGTTGACAACCAAGGCAGAAGATATGTTTGTAAGACTGGGTACAACATGCCAACCAATCGTCAAGAGAGTGAAGATGGTCTTGACATCATGTATGAAAAGGGTGGCCCGTATTGCCCTGTGGCATCCTTGGAGCTTTACCTCAAGCATCTAAACCCATCAAATCCATCGTTATTTCAAAAAGCCAAGAAAGATCATTTACTGATAGATGAATCCTGGTATGAAAATGTGTCTCTAGGTGAAAGAGTGCTGGCAGAGAAGATGAAGGGAATTTCTGAAGAAGCTCAACTTTCCAAAGTCTTTTCTAATCATTCAATAAGGATGATATCAATTTCTATGTTAAATATGTGCATATTTGGATCCATCTGTCCCTGGATTGTCCGTGTCAGGGGGAGGATACCAGAAGCAGCTTCTGAAAGTCCAACGCAATCAGTATGTAAGAAGAGAAAGATCTCTGAAACCAGAGTTGATACGGATCAGTCAGTAACACATGATGTGAGTACTGTTTACATTGAGTAAGGGCATTCCAAATCTCGCATGTCCAGATCTTACTGTAAATTATTTTAACTCATTAGCATCTGATTTGCATTGATTGACACATAAAATGATGAGAAATCTAGTTATTTGCAATTAAGCAATGCCTTTGTGTTAAAGTCTTGTTGGTCTTATATTGCAGCAAGCTCTTGATGTGGACTCGTCTGAATGGGCAGAATATAGGACTAGATCTGGACAAGTTCTACTTATCAAAATAATGGAAAAATCCAATTCTTCATCAAAAAAAGTAAGTAAGAATGTCAATGTGCATAGGGCTAGGTATAGTCACCTCTTGTGATTCAGCTCTTGAAGGTGTCAATTATAGCCAGGGTTACTGTAAACAATGCATAAAAAATGTTTACAAAAAATGTGAATGTTAAATGATAATGTTATAAAATTAATCCGTTTTAGGGATTGCCAAATGAGTCATCAACACAGGCCAAAAATCTCGTTAGCATTGGTACACAAACAGATGATACTGAGTGCATAAATGGATGTACCTCTAAGTACGTACCTCTTTTGTGTTGTGGTAATGACCGTCCTTTTACTCAAGCAAACAAAACAGCTTATAAACAAGATAATTCTGCTAAAATGTCTTTAGAAGATGGCAATGGGGACAAAGATGCGGGGGGCGTTAGAGACCGCCATGACACATCTTATGCAAGTGACCTTAGTGCAGTTTTAAGAGTTTTAGATGAAGATGAAAGCGATACAAGTTTTGGGATGGGAGTTCCCACTCAACATACTAATCAATCACAAAATGAAAAGAATCTGGTTTGCGAGAAGAACAAAAACGTAGCAGAAATGAATCATGACGTACGTTATGGAATGATTGTTCCAAGTCAACTAGGTAATCCATCCCAAAATCAAGAGAGTTTTGTCCATAAAAATCAAGATGGTTTTGTGTGTGAAAAGAGTGAGAATGTGTATAGTAATCATGAAGAGAATACTCTTCACCTCGATGATAAAGGTCACTGTATTGAGCCAGTCTGGCCAAATTCCAAAGGAGAACATTTAAGAGTTGGAAATCCAGCTAATCTAGCAAGTACTGTCGTAAGTCAATATCTTTACAAACTGACCCACAACATTACGACGGTGAGAACATCTACCAAGCCTCCAAGACCTCGGAATACACCGATAAAAATTTTACCAAAGTCATTAGTAAACACGTCTAGTGTACCAGTTGGGACAGCTGGATTCATAAACCAAGGGAATACAGCTGTTGACATAAGTAATTTACACGTGGTCAATGTTAGTAGCAATCAAATTGTGGCAAAGCCATTGGTGGACACTTTGGGCTCATCAGTTGGGACAGCATATAGCAGATATATAAGCCCAGGGGACACCCCAGTTGACACAAGTCAATTGGTTAATCCTCCTGGCACTCCAAAGTCACCTACAGGCCCTAATCATACATGAATTATTGTGCCTAGTGCTTCGGATACACCAATCGTTGTTGTTCATACCAAAGTCTACTAAGTTAGCTGATCTGAATGCTTCTATAACGGTTTTCTTCAATTTGGTAGCTCACTCAACAAAGAAATTAGCCCTCTTAACACTGAAAATCTATCAGCTGTGAAGAGTGGGGCCAGTTATGATCCATTTCAGAAAAATGAAGGACAAACATCACACTTTCAAGAGCATTTGATTCTATTGAAAATGCTATCAATAACTGCAAGACATTCAAAAAACATTTGACATTACAATTAATGAAAAATTGAAAATCAAGAATAGGTCTCTTTGCAATCCGTTTTATACTAGTATCTAACAGGGGTGGATTATAGGTTGTCGGCACAGGGGGTGTGCATCTTCCTGAGACCAATGTATCCTTCAATGTTTTCCCTTATTTTATGTTGCCTTTGTGAACATTTTATCGAGTGCAGGCCCACCTGACACTACACACCTATTGCATCTGCCTCTGTCCGGTGAGAACAAATGGATTGTGCTATAATAAGACTCATTTCTTTACAAACTGGAACAGCAAGGATGTTTCAATACTATCTGTTATACTTAAGTTATTACATTTAACATATTGTACATGTTTGACGCTTTACATTAAATTAGTGTTCATATGTGTAGATGTGAATTTTGTTTGGGGTAGGGTACTCTGTATCGGCAGCTCGGGGAAGGTCCAGAATGTCGCCCCAGTCTCAAAAATGCATCAAGTAACGCCTGTCATTTTCGGATGCTGTCAAGCCGCTTGTCCGACATTTTGAATGCTTTCTGGAAGATTTCTCCGCTAAAGAATTAGCGTGGTACGGTTCTTTCGCTCATACTTGCATATTGAAGTCTTTGATACTCATTTAACTGCGAAGAAAATAGTGTTAAAGTGGCTAAAGAGGCTCAATCGAGTTGTTGACATTGAATTTGCCTACCGGCTGTTGTTTTTTTAAACGAAAACTGCTTATAAATAATAGTTGCTTACTGCCATGCAAGAGGAAAAGGCTTTCAACATTGAAAAGGTGATTTTGATATTATTTCATGAAGTGTTTTATTTAAGTCATGTAATAGTTGTTATTCCGATTCAAACATTTCCCTCAGGGATTTTACCGACAAGAAATGGGCATTTTTTTATTTGGCTGTCGTTTTTGTCGCTAGAATTTGAGTTATGACATAACATCCCTCTCTGTGTGCACCTAAATCCTTTATAAAAATGTGAAATTGTAAACAGTTCTCTATATCAACAGAATATATGCTAACTGTGTGTTTACTGACTGTTCGAAGTAAGCTACTGAGGAGCAAAGCTGCATTTATATTATAGCCTGCGTAGCGGCCCTAAGGGGATTGGGGAGGCCCGGCCGAGCGGGGAGTGGGGAGGAAAATAGGAAGGGCCTGCAAGCGGACCCCACGGTTTTACGAAATCTACAGTTCGATTTGGCCGTAAATTCCCTATTGGTCGAGAGCAGCAAGCTGTCAATCAAATGTCAAAGTGATAGATACCATATCAAGTTGGCGTTTATACAAACATGGCGGGCGATGAAGAAGGGTTTTGTTATCAGTTAGAGCGTGCTTTAAGCGATTTAAAGGAAAAAAGCTTCAATATTTCACTAAAAGAAGAACAGCGACAAGCTTTAGAAAAACTGTACGTAAAAACGAAAGACTTGGTGGCGATCTTGCCGACAGGCTTCGGAAAAAGTTTAATCTTTCAAGTGCTGGTTCTGTTGTCTCGCTTCGAGCTTCGCTTCCAAGAGATCTCTCCTCTTGTTATAGTTATTTCTCCGTTAGTTAGTATTATAAATGACCAGATCTTGGAAATAGATTCTCTTGGACTCAAGGGATGTAATCTGGTTGACGCAATTTAGACATGTTATCGAGTGTAGATGTTATATATGCTTCCGCTGAAAGTGCTTTGGACAGACGCTTCACGGACTTTCTCATAGACAAGGACAATAAAAGTTTTGTTTCAAGAATTATGGCTCTGGTTGTTGATGGTGTAGCATGTTTACAAAAATATTAGTTTTATTTCCGTTGACCTCGCGACCTCATACTGATAGCGCTTCGTGATTGGTTTATTTTGACAACTGTAAAGTTGGATTTGCCAGACTTTTGAAAATATTAATTAGGGGGCGTTTTGTAAAACCGTGGGGTTCGCTTGCAGGCCCTTCCTATTTTCCTCCCCACTCCCCGCTCGGCCGGCCCTCCCCAATCCCCTTAGGGCCGCTANAAAAGTCTGGCAAATCCAACTTTACAGTTGTCAAAATAAACCAATCACGAAGCGCTATCAGTATGAGGTCGCGAGGTCAACGGACATGAGAACTGTCAAATATTTTTGTAAACATGCTACACCATCAACAACCAGAGCCACAATATTCTTGAAACAAAACTTTTATTGTCCTTGTCTATGAAAAAGTCCGTGAAGCGTCTGTCCAAAGCACTTTCGGCGGAAGCATATATAACATCTACACTCGATAACATGTCTAAATTGTCAATTGCGTCAACCAGATTACATCCCTTGAGTCCAAGACTGAATCTATTTCCAAGATCTGGTCATTTATAATACTAACTAACGAAGAAATAACTATAACAAGAGGAGAGATCTCTTGGAAGCGAAGCTCGAAGCGAGACAACAGAACCAGCACTTGAAAGATTAAACTTTTTCCGAAGCCAGTCGGCAAGATCGCCACCAAGTCTTTCTTTTTTACGTACAGTTGTTCTAAAGCTTGTCGCTGTTCTTCTTTTAGTGAAATATTGAAGCCTTTTTCTTTTAAATCGCTTAAAGCACGCTCTAACTGATAACAAAACCCTTCTTCATCGCCCGCCATGTTTGTATAAACGCCAACTTGATCTGGTATCTATCACTTTGACATTTGATTGACAGCTTGCTGCTCTCGACCAATAGGGAATTTACGGCCAAATCGAACTGTAGATTTCGTAAAACCGTGGGGTCCGCTTGCAGGCCCTTCCTATTTTCCTCCCCACTCCCCGCTCAGCCGGGCCTCCCCAATCCCCTTAGGGCCGCTACGCAGGCTATTTATATTATGATTATTCTTTTAAAAAGGAAGCTAATTTACAATAACTTGATTATTTCACAAATTGATTTTTAAGGCCCAGAAAATTCAGGAATGTCTACCTCACACAGTCCAAATTATTGATGTTATATTCTAAACATTTGATAATTAGTAAATAAATATAGAGGGTCGACTGGGCACGAAGGCCAAGTCATGGTTTTGTGGTCATTTGTCAGTGGTGTTTTGTGAGGATTTCTTTATTTCAACCTGTGGCTTTGTGGTTGCAAATTATACATACATTAAATATGATAAGATGGGTGAATAAAACCTTAAAAATGTACACATGGCAATTTGAAGGAGAAATTTATAACCTGCTCTTTGAATATAAAAGGAGACCTTTTGATAGCATCTCACAGGATCTGATGGAAGCTATTACTGCATTTATATAAGGATTTCAGAGTTGTAGTGAAAACCACTCAATCTTGGCAGCTGGAAAATTCAGAAGTCTGTTGTTCAAAGGCACAAAGCAATTTTTTAATTTATAATACATCAGTTACATGACACATATCCACTAAATTATTTAATTTGTTGCCTTTGTGTCCAACTTCATCCAGAAATAGGTACGAGCTGATCACCAAAAACTCATCCTCCATGTTCAGTCTTTGCAAGGATACTCACTGGAAAAAAAATACTAATCATTCTTTTGTTTTAATTCTTTGAGATGGAGGTCAATGACTGGGTTGAATACAAGTGCAAAACTGGTCAGACGCTGTTCATTAAGGTTGCTGAGGGTCACAAGTGGCCTGCTGAAAGTGTAAGTATGACTTAGGGGGTGCCTGAGACCCCTTTTCCTTTGGGTATTTCCTAAGAAAAAAATCCAAAAAAGTCGAAGTTAAAGGGTAGTTCCAGGGACATGTGGTTTGAGTGGTTATCCACCATCCTCACCCACCTCCCCCCCCAAATTATCAGCGTTCGAAAACATAAAATGTAGAAATAGAAATTATGATTCAAATATAGAATTAAATCTGAATGGGACTAATTTTGAAAATTCAAGAACCACTGTTAAATATTAAGTATTTTTATCTGATATTATTATTATTATTATTATTATTATTATTATTTATTATAAAAAATTTATTTTCAGCAGCACTAAGTCAATCCATTCAATATCTTTTTATCGATTAGTCACCACCCTTTGTTCTGGATTCACCACTAAAGACTTACTGTTTGTGACTTAATTTAATCAAATATTTTTTTAGAAATCAAGTAGAATAATTGGACAATGCAAGAGCTTCAGTTCTGTTGGAACCCAAACTGATGATAAAGACTGTGTGAATGGATGCACTTCGATGTACATCAACAACAATACTTCATCAAATGCAAATCAAGCATCAAAAGAACACGATAATGGCCATAGTGGACACCAAGATTGTGTCCAATCATGCAGCAGTGTTGTCTCCAGACAGACATCCTCTACTGACAATACATCGTATGCCAGTGATCTTTCTGCTGTGTTGAGGGTTTTGGAAGAGGAATTTGATCCTCCTGTAGATGAAAGCGAAGTTTCAAGTAATTCATTAAATGTTACTGAAAATATTCAAAATAAATCCAAGTATACACTGAATGGAAATGAAAAGAAATTTGTTGATGTGAGGCATGGTATTCCTGGCAGTTACAACATGGAGACTGGAAATGAACTGARTGAAAAAACTGAACCTTTAATGGTCAAAGAAACAACCGGTACTTCACACATTGACAATAATCAAGTAGAACAAACAACAAATGCTAAAGATAGAGGAAACAGAGAGTTAGAGCAAGTACCTGAGACAGCGTTGACAAGTGAAGAGGAAGATTTTCAGTGCATGAATTGCAAAGAAGTCTTCAAATGCAAGACAGCATACAATGAGCATCTTTTAACACATCGCAGGCACAAATGCCCACAATGCGGCAAAGAATACTCGTACAAGTTCTACTTGAAATACCACTTAATAACTCACAAACAGAGAAATATTATGCAAGCAATAAGCTGTACATTTTGCGACAGAAAGTTCTCGAACCAAGATGAGCATGACGTGCATATCAAGGGGCATGTGGGAGAGAAGCCATACGTTTGCACACTCTGTGACAGATCTTTTAAGTCTCGTAACAATTTCAAAGCCCACCAACAGAGGATCCACACAGAAAGAAGGAAGTACCAATGCTCATACTGCAAYCAGGCATTTCAGCGCTCAGATCATCTTCATCGTCACCTGCGCAAGCACACAGGAGAGAAGCCWCACAGATGTGTATTCTGTGGGAAGGCATTTGGACGGAAAGACAATTTGACATGTCATTTAAGAATACATATGAAGTGACATTTACCTATTYAAATATTAAGTAATTATCCTCTTTATTAAAGTTATTTTATGTTCTYTATTTATCAAAGATATGTTAGAGGTTGTAGTTACAGTTTTTGGAAAATTTCACCTTCTATATAATAATTATTTCTATTATAATTAGTATATATTTACATTTGGTATTTAGTATTGAGTTCGATATTATATTAGGTATTTATATTTAAAAGATTATTCATGGATAAAGAGCTATTGAGTGTTGGGAGGACAGGGATCCCAGTGCTTTAAGAATACGTTAGGGATCCTACAAAGTGCAATAATATTAACATTGTTTACAAATAAAAAAATACATAACAAGTCAATGGCTATACATAATATTTTATTGGTTGAATTTGAATCTTCCAGATATTTAAATACGTTTGACCAGTACGTACACTCTGATCCAGTGATTTTAGCTTGATTTTCTGATCTAAGTATTGGGTCCTATKCTTCACCCTATATATGACCCACACACTAGACAAAAGTCAAGCTAAATGTAAATATCAATTATTTTATTCCAATGTGGAAACAAAGTAATCATAATTGGATTCGAAATTGCTTTTTGAGGCTTAGAAGAGGGAAATTTAGAACATCCAAGCCACAGACATACCTTTCTGCTTCAGTTATAAGATTTAGGAAAATGTATTGAAAAAGCTTTGCTATTTTTACTCCACTTTTCTTCTTTTTTTAGTTCACAAAGGTCTCAATGTTACATTCTAAGTATTTGTTGTCAAAATACTGCTCCTGAAACTCTTCTTTGAATTATGTCTAGTAAATAGATAGGGAGTCAGAAGGTTGTACAGCGAACTCTTTTACTTTCATGTGAAATGAAAGCCATATCTCATGTAAATGAGTTTCATTAGTGGTTTTTTTATCAACAGGGTCCGTGCAGAGTATCAAAAACGAAATTTAAGGACTTTTCAAGGACTTTTTCCAGGACCAAAATTGTATTTTCAATGAGCATCAAAATCATGCTAATTGTACATTCTTACCTCAAAACTTCAGCCAAACAGAATAATTCAGAGATCGCTAGCGCTTCGTGATAGAGATCTATCTTTTTCAAGGAGTTTTCAAGGACTATTTCAAAATTTTCAAGGAGTTTCAAGTGCCCTTGAAAACGAGTTTTCAATTTAAGTACTTTTCAAGGATTTTTAAAGGACCTGCACGAACCCTGATCAATTAATTGTGTTATCTTTACATGTTGGGTTACTAGTCTACATTGTTGTAAGTCTGCACACTTTTAATAGCAATAGACGTCCATCAATACTCCAGTTTCAAGATCTTATTTGTGCAGTAGAGTTTCAAAGGACCGCCAAGAGTGGCGTCACCGTGTCGCGGCCCTATTTCCCACTAGGGAAGATGGGGATAAGTAAGTAAGTAAGAGTGCACACCACATATAAGCATGAAACAATTCTTAACTAATTAGCGCCTAATAAGATTTAGTTATCAACTGACTAAGAATTTAGTGAGGCATAAACAGAGACAAGTTTCCTTCCTGGCATTGTGTTCATGCCCCAGTGAATTCTTAGTTAGTTGATAACTAAATCTTATTAGATGTTGATAGTTAAGAATTCTTTCACGCTTTTTTGCGTGCACTCTATTAACTTTGAAATCATGTAATCTTTTTATTCATCAAAGATTCTATTGTAATGCAAACACTCTGTGCTAAAAGAAGATGATAAAAATGTATCCTTGATTGAAGTTAAGCTTGCACAAAAGAGAATTCGAAACTGGAGTATTCAAGTAAATTATTGGTTGCATGGTAGTCAGTGTAAATATCTTGAAATTCTGGCAATGATTTACACTATTAATCTGTATATCTGTCTTAAAATCGAAATTGTCATTGTTTTGATTGGATTTATGAGCCCTTCTCTCCCTTTGCTCGCCACGCACTAATAAGCTTAGATGAATAATACACTGTTATCGCATGAAGCTGGATAATGAATGCAACAACAGCCATCTTGATTGGCAGGATCCTCCAGTCTTGTGTTGCTGGTACTATCCCTTCAGACATGTTTTGAAGAACCTCTAAAATAACGAAGGTGGAACCATACATCAAGGGACCAACACCAGTAACAATGATTCCAAAGGCAAACATGTATAACAGGTTAGACCGGTTTTTTGGTAGAGACTGTAAACCAATCAGAGCTGGGATAAAGCTTATACACCATGCCATGATCCAGGGTTCTGGAGTAAGTTGAACATTCCTAAAACATTGAATAAAAACACATGTTTTTAGACTTAAAGGCCCAGTGTGCAACATTATGCTTTGGGGTCCTCGGGTGGCCATTTTCAGTTTACTGAAAGTCTATAAATTGTACTCTGCGTTTCGAATCTTTGACCATCTCACTTTTCTCAGCACTTTTAACAATAACTGAGGCTCGCAAAGCATAATGATGCAAACTGGGCCTTTATAAGCATCTTGTCGGTTGATTTTGATGGCTTAATGTTTAACATTCCAATAGCCCTTATTTGTGAGGTTGGGTCGTTTTTGTTTTGGGATTCCTGTCTCAAAAATAGGGTGTCCATTGCAATCACCCATCTTTTCAACATCTCAAAAGGGAATTTGATAAAATAGGAAATACGGCCATTAATAATACATTTRACTTATGTAGTCCTAGTATTTACACAGGAATTAATGACCACTTAATATTTCAATYAAGACCAACCTTGTATAAGATAATCCAAACCACGTTATAACACAAGTRACGAAAAATAAGTGAATCCAGATGCAAACTTTGACTTTTATCTTTTGCCTCACGCTTTCTCTATAATGCGAAGCTACGCGTTCGCGATGAGAAAAATCTGAACCATCTGTTCCTGAAGCTCTAGGACCTCCTCTTGATGACATTTCCTTTTAAAAAGACTATAATTTTTACAATAAAATGGAATAAATAGTGAATCTACCTGTATTTTTGAACTATGAAAGAAGTGCCCGCGAATTTTATAACTGCGGTGTAAAAAACACACAGGTAGCCCAAATAATATATTTCCGCAAATAAAATCTAGATTATTTGTGGACTAGACTTTTCGTATCTTCCCTCTTTATTTATCTCTTTTCAACAAATTTTATATACTCTTWGCTTATGATACCAGAAAAAGTTGGAAAGAAAAACGAAAACACCTCACGAAAAAGGATTTCCGCATGTGGCCCGCGGAATCAGAAACTGTGCATGCGCTGTCAAGTCTAGAAAACATGTTGTCTTGAAACAAGTGAAAGTCTGGAGGAAGTTTTGCTTAAAATTTGTATTTTGTTCCTGAACTGTTTGTACTTTTACCAATATGTGAGTCCATAGGGAGATTATATTTGTTCACCAAGGTAATGGATGATAWTATGAACGAGGAAAAASTYCGRGAACAGATAAAAAATGGAGGGGTATCCGRTGCCGAGGAAGGAGAAGAMGACGAATCATCKTCGTCTCAAAGGAGATCAAAACACTCCAAAAAACACAAGCATAAACATGCTAAAAAGCACAAACACAAGCATAAAAAGAAGAAAAGCAAGAGAAAGTCTTCTTCGCGCTCCAGATCAAGATCTTCAAGCCGTTCTCGTTCAAAATCCCCAGATAAAATTGTGAAAAGGGATGACGAGTCGTTTGACACTTCTTGCTTTGAAACTTATGACATAGCGTCTTTTAAACTCGAAAAGTCACTCTCTAGAAGTCCAAGTCCAAAAAATAAAGACAATACAGAAAAAGGAGATGAAAACCCGCAAGAAAMGCTTTCGAAACAGACGGAAAARMACRGAAAAGAYRGATCAGAATCACCSCCTTTYTATACYGAGCAAGATCTTTTAGAAAGAGATRGGATTCTACCTATTAGCAAATCAACAGCTACAAAAACAGCTACAGTTGATGATTTAGATACTGAAAAGACTTTACAATCAGAAARYGAGCCCCAAATCACATTAGTTAATAAAAGTGCAAAGGAAACYRTTMTGGAAAATCCTCTGTCAAAATCAGAAAATGTTAAGGMCAGCYCATTATTAGTAGAKGAAGCTAAGAAAAGTAAATCTAAGTCCCCTTTGAATTCTAAAAAGAGATCAAAATCCAGATCAAGATCACCAAAATCTAAAAAAAGAAAAAGTGCAAGTCGTTCCAAATCCAGAAGTAAAAGYCCAARGACAAAACTCTCWAGAAATTCTCGCTCAAGATCATCATCTTATGAAAGGAAGAAACCAAGRAAGAAATCAAGATCAAGAAGTTTGTCTTCGAAAAGTAGAAGTAGGTCTCCAAGAAGAAAGAGACACAGTAGCAAAGATAGAAGGAGAAGTAAGAGTATAGAACGCAAGAGAAGTAGAAGCAGAGACAGAAGGGGCAAAAGTACAGATCGAAGAAGAAGTAGAAGCAGAGAGCGAAAGAGAAGYCGAAGTAGAGATCGAAGAAGTCGAAGTCCCCAAAGAGGAAGTCGTAGGTCATATCGTGGCACCCCACCAAGAAAAGGTCKCAGAGATTCTTCATATGATCRAAGAACYTCAAGAAGACAAAGTAATTACCGAAGGTCAAGGTCAGCATCACCAAGGAAACRATCTTCAAGACGTTCAAGGTCAAGGTCACCACAGAGAAGGTACCGTGGAAGGTCAAGRTCACCAKCWAGACAAGGGTATCRGAATAGAAGCAGGTCAAAGTCACGATCTAGACGAAGTAGATCAAGGTAATGACATAAATAAGTTAGAAAATGAAATATTTATTTATTAAAAGCTCTCTTGCATTAGAGAACCTTTGCAAACATTTTGTTTTGTTTTAACTACCAACTTAGATCTTACTCTTCAAGACGAAGAAGAAGTAGGACACGCTCTAGATCGAAATCCAGAGACAGATCAAAAAGACGATCAAGATCCAAATCAGATGATTCAAATACCGACAGCAAGAAAACAGCTGAGAAGGAAACGACTTCAACAAACCCAACTGCTGCAAAGGATTTAGTTGGCAAAGCACCAACTGTCAGTGATCCYTCTAATAAAAAATCCCTTGCAATGCTGACAGAGTTTTGTAAGAAGTTGACAGAGGCWAGAGGAATTGCAGACAATAATGAAAAGGAAACTAATGAGGAAGCAAAGGAGGAGGAAGAGGAAGAGGAGGAAAGTGTTATTTCCCATCCATTCTTGGTGGCTCCTAAAAAGGATATTACTATACCACAAGTTATATTTCCAGTAAGTTGTAGCCCTCACCCCTCCCCACAAAAAAACATTCTCAGTAGGGGTGGGAGAGGAATATATGTACACAGGCTAAATAATTTGTTTCATCAAAAATTCACATGATTTAACTTTTTAAGGTATATTGTGGCATACTTGCTCTTTTCAAATTTAAGTAGACATTGGTTTGATTGACAGGGTCAATTTAGATCATGTGACCATATCATACAAATGTTTATTGCTAGTATAAAGAAGTAAATACCAAAAGAATTATTGTCTATACTGTATGCAAGCAATTGTGTTGTAGAATCACATTATTTCACAGTATTTATAACTTCAAAGACTCTAACTGCAAATACTCCAGTTTCAAGAACTTATTTGTGCAGTCTTAACCTCAAAAGCATGCATTTATTAACCTATAAAGATGTGTGAGAACCCVATGCAAGGCCTTCTGGGTACCACAGGAACCCCAACTCTCCTAACAGTAGTTTTATGTGACAGATSTTGTTATTTTTCTGTTATTTTCAGGTCAAGCCTATGTTGCCACCWGTAAACATGATTGACACTAGTAAACCATTAATGGAACAATTTCCAGTGTCTTGTGGTACAAAACATCATGAAAAAGAGACAGAAGACTCTTCACTTGTCACTACCATTCCTAATATTAATGRCTCAGCAGCCGTTCAGCCTCCACAGACTGTATTCCAACAACCACAGATACAAGAGGTATACTTCATTACTTCAGTTTCTAGACAATGCACCAGGACAAAAAATGAGAACCAATCAATCTGTGCGCAGTTTTGAGTTTTGAACATTTTATGATGTCAAGAGTGTGTCAATAAGAGGAAATACAGTGAAAAACTGTATCTAATTTGTTTTTACCACATTATAAGTCTAAAATTGACAAAAATCATTATTTTCTTTCAATAAACCCTTTTAGCGATCTCTTTTATGCTGTGTTAGCCTCAAAACCATGTAATAAATTCTTTTATTCACAACAGCCCGTGCAAATGCAAGAGATCTGTGAGAGTATAGAAGACAATGGAAATAGTTTGAAATCTCACGAGTTTTATCTACGTTTCTGAATATTTTAGCACACAATTGAGGCTAACACAGCGTAAAAGAGATCGCGAAACTCGACTATTGAGCACGCATGTGAGACGGGATAGTCTCAGCACAGTGTGCATGTCCTCTTATTTACACACTCTTATCAGCCAATCAGCATGCAAGAATTTACACAATTGTGGTAAAAATACATGTATTGTTTGCAATCATTTTAGTTGATATGTAGAAATCTTTTGCCTTTCTTCTCATCAGAAACTAGACATCAGTAGTTTAGTTGTCAAGAGAATGGATGCTCAGAGAAGACTACAAGCTGATGCAAACGATGTAGAYGCCATGCTTGCCTTGCAAGAAATTGAAATGAAGCTTAACAACTGGTGTCAGTCTAATGTCAAACCTGGTCAATTCACTGGACAGCTGGCTAAACAGATGATGCCGAAAGAGAAGATGAATGCTGGCTTTCAGGCTTGGGCTAAAAAGGTATGTGTYAAATGAATTGATTCATAACAAGATCACAGAATTATTTTAAAATAAATAACCGCTAGAAAGTGTTACAATAAAAATTGTTGCATCGCGATGTCTTCTTTCTTTTGAAGTTTGTTTGGATTTTGTTCTTTTCTGTAATCTTAGGGAATGAGCTTTTCATAAACTTGTTCAGTCTTTGATTGATCTGTAGTAAGTTCTGCCATAAGTTGCAAATGAAAAAAACAAATTTTAACTTCAAAGAAGTGATGCATTCTTGTACCAAGATCCTTCTTAGCTCCTAATGGACAATCAAAGGCTCTGGTTGAAGACGATACCGGAAGACCTAGAATCTGGGTCGTACGGCATAGGCATACTGATTTTAACCAATCAAATCAAAGAATCACTCGTCTCAAACCAGAACCTTTGTTTTTCTGTTTGGAAAGTGAAAAGAATCCGGATAATCTTGAGAATAAGACGTGATGTTTCTGAGTGTCCTCTCATGTCATTATTTGACATCTTCGTAGGATATGTTCCAAAATCTAAATCCAGTCAGTAGTGGAATTGGGATGAAGCTACTTCAAAAGATGGGCTGGGCACCTGGTCAAGTACTGGGTAAAAGTGGTAAGGGCATGGTGGAACCCATTGCTCTACCTGTAAAGGTTGACCGAAAAGGCTTGAGTTCTACTATGGAAAGACCTCTTGGAAAGAAAGGTGGACCCGTTGTTCAAAATTTAAATGCTAAGACGCCAATGGACCTGCAAGGTATGGTTTATATTTTTTTATGGTTAATACTGAATTATTGAGAGAGTAACTTGTACAAAACTCTTACAGCTGAAATCGTTGTATCGCCACTTCTTCGTTTCAAATTTTGTTTTGATTTTATTCTTTCCTTTGATCTAAAGGCTGAAGCTTTTTGTAAACTCGTTCAGTCATTGGCTGATTTGCAGCTCCATCCCAAAGTCGCAGAAAAACCTAAATCCTAAAGATTTCTTTTGAACATTGATGTTGCCATGCAATGATTTTTGCTGTAATTTGTGAATGCGTTTAGTTTTATTTTATCTGGGGTACTTTAGAGGGGTGAAAACATATTGTAGAAATCAATATTCAAAGATAATAATTTGAACRTGAATGTTTGGTGCTGTTATGTTATTCAATACTTGTTTTATTGGGGCCTTTTCATTTTCTCTAGTGARTTGTTGACTGTTGTATGTCAGCGGTCAGTTTTTATGTCATTTTGGCCGGGTATTTCTGGTTTTCAGTCTAGTTACTTGAGATATTATGGGTTTCTCAAAATTAAAAAAAAAGAGGAAAAGAAACAAATAAACAAGAACAAATCTTACCTCAAAGGCCATGCAAATTAAAAGTGTTTTATAACAAATTTGGTTTCTTGGTGCTCATGACATTTTTATAGCACTAAATCAGTAGAATAGCAAAACCCTCAACTTTTCTCTATCATAAATCAGTCAAGTGGGATCACATTTATCCCACTTTGCTGATTTTGCCTTCAAATAATTCCTCTTTCCCACAGCAAAGGTTTTTGGTTTTGTATTTTGTGGAAATACAAGAGCATACTGCTCTTTAATTTGCATGGCCTTTTGAAACCACAAGTTTAGCGCACAGCTCAAGATGGTTACCATAGTGACATCATTAACAGGATAATCAGGATAAACCGGTTCCATTCTGGGACTGCCAGGTACAGTAAAACAAGCTGTATTTTCACAAACAKATTTTTCCTGACAGGTTTTTCCTGGTGAGTTTTGCTTGAACATGCAGGGTTGCATGAAGTAATATTTGCCAAGAAAATCTGTCTATAGAAGAATTTGTTTGTGGAAATTCAGCTTTGGTTGAAACCCAATTAATTCAACTTGGTTTTTGCCACAGATAAAAAGACTGACTGAGTGGCCTTTGAATGGATGAAAATATATATGAATAAGTTAATTGATGAATGGATGGTGTAGGAGCAACTGAATACACCTTTTCAGTTGCTCTTATGCCTCGACAGCGTGTTAAATATTCTTTTGAATTCGTAGGAATGTAAGCAATGCAAACATTGATATGAATAGTCTCATTTGTTAAATTCAAAAGAATAATTAACTTGCTATAGAGGCCTAAGTGCAACTGAAAAGGTGTATTGAAAGATGTTGCATTGCTGTTTTCTGATTACAGTTATTTTTTAATAGACTGATGTACAAAGGGAGAATAAAGTTATCCACTTCTTAGATTTTGTACCAATTTTATCTGTTGGATATAGAGAATATTACATGGGTGCACRGAGATACGGATTTTATCTTTGAGTGTTGAAAAGATGAGAAGATAAGATTTGTATCTCCAAGCGACCACGTAATATTCTGTTTATCATATAATTACATATCAAAGCAAATTATGTTGTAAAATACTTTTTTCCTACTTCCACTAGATAGAGAAACATCGAATGTGTTATTTTCACTAGTGAAGATATCAACTTTACGAAATATAGAAAGTTATATAGGTATTTCTTAGATAATTATATGATAAAAGGATATATCAGGTGGATAGCACTATTCACCTTTAATGCAACTGGACCCTGATTTGTACAGCATATAGGAAGAGAAATGCCATATTCAAGAGATAAATCATAGATCTATCTTTTGTGATGGCCAAGTCTGTTTGCTAAATTATTTCAGTCCAGTGTTATGTATTATAATGTACGAGTGCTTGTCTTGTACTGTTTTTATCTGTGGCAAAATCTGAGTGAATTAATTGAGTTTCAGCTATTGTGATCTCAAGAATCCAGGGATGAAGAATATGGCGCCTCTTTCTTTCCCCAATAAACAAGAGAAATTCTCATTGAAGAATTCTCAGGAGAATTTAGCACTTGATCACAAGGCACTTATACTGATTGGTTTGCATTTCAGGCAAGCATCCAATATCATTGCTACAGGAGTACTGTGCAAGGAGGAAGTGGAATGTCCCAGAATTCACCTTGATCTTTGATGAAGGTCCCCCTCATTCTAAGCAGTTCCTCTTTAAGGTGTTAGTRAATGGCTATGAATATCAAAATCCTGTTGTCAGTGGCAACAAGAAGCATGCCAAGGCTCAGGCCGCTGTGGCTGCCTTGAAGGGACTTGGTTTGGTGCCAGAGGATGCTCAGTTTTAGAAAGTGGACAAAGGGACTGAAAATGATTTTCGTTATACATCAGTGTGAGAGACACATTGTAAAGAGTTCATAGAAGGTCATTGTTTTAGTGGTGCTGTGTGTCCTTTGGTAGATTAGAAATACTASTAACTTGATTTCTATCAGGGTCTCTAGGGTTGCGGGACTGTGGAGGAGGAATCCTTTGTCCATTCCCCCTCTGCTTCCTTCTCTGAAAAGACCTGATACTTACGCTATGTTTGAAGTGTTTCTAATCCAATTTGTGCACAAAAATGTGTGAAAAGATGAAGGAAAACAAAAAAAGGATTGAATTTGAATKTTTTAGTTAAGAACAAAAATAGATTCTGAAATGAAAATAACTCTATTTCATGTTTTCTTGTATTTTTTGTTTACACTTAACAGTGTACCACTCTAAACCTTAAAATAGAAATAGTGTACTTTAGCAATCTAATTTGCGCTGTCGTAGCCTCAATCGTTTGCAAAAGATGCAGTTTAGATAAAACTCCTTTGAATTTCAAACTATTTTATTTGTCTTCTGTAAGACAGATCGTTTGCACACAATTGAGGCTAATGCAGTGAAAAAGAGATTGCTAAAAGCRTTTGTTCTTGTAGTAGAGTGTTGATAAATAGAAGTAAATAAACAACTTGAAGAAATGATTGCAACATATTTATTTATTATACTAGTGAYGTCTTCTAATTATTGGGTGTAACATTTGCATCAATTCAAACACAATGTACAGTGCTATAACATTTAAAAATAATAATAATTTATAACATCTAAAAATTTAATAGTTTATATTAAGTAATAATATTTCACCACCCAAAGTAAAGCAATAATTCCTGACATAAAATTAAAACATGACTAATTGTTTAAAAGAACTCGAGGCAAATTCTAATGCTGATATATTGAACTTGCAGAGTACACAAACAATCAGTTGATGTATGCTGCAAATTAAACTAAATGCTAATCTTGAAAATGTACATTAAAAGTTCCATTAAATTAACTTTTACAGTTTCATAATATAACAATAAAACATACCATAAAACATCCAGAATTCTGTTATTTTCGGAACATATTGAGGACATTTGAAGCAATAACATGTTAATTTGCTCCAAGGGCATCGCAGAATATGTTTTTTAAACAAAATCTAATCTACACCATCATGTTTTGCATTAAAGCAAGAGAGTTATTCAATCYTGTMCCAAAGTGCATTGTCATTTCTCTAGTATCCACACTTTAAAAATACACTACGCTTCAGATTCTATAACACCAATCCTAAGATGCCTGACAACTGAATGGYAGATGAACACAAGAATTCTGACAATTTGAATAATAATTGCTAGKTTTGTTATTGATGAGAATGTTGATTGTTAACCAGGACAACATCGTCGAGATTCTTGCTGTTCAATCAAATCCTCAACAGAGGCATACTGACCTATACCCAGGACATCTTGAGGGCGCATTGGCAGAGCCTTAATGCCCTCCCATCCATCCTTTAGCCCTAGTTCTCCTCTTTCCATCCTTTTGTAAACTTCTTCAGTGACGCGAATAAATGCTTCCTCAATATTGCAAAGGATTTTGGCCGAAGTCTCTATGAATAACATATCGTGTGCATCAGCAAATCGTTCTCCTTCTTCTGTTGAAACAGCTCGCTGCGATTCTTTGTCAATTTTGTGCCCAACAAGCATGAAAACAACCTCTGCTTCTTCAACGCACTGCTTTGCTTCCTTGTACCAGTCCAGAACATTCACAAAGGAGTCACGATTTGTTATGTCGTAAACTATTAAACATCCRACAGTGTTACGGTAGTAGGAGTAGGTAATTGAACGAAAGCGTTCCTGGCCAGCAGTGTCCCAGATTTGCAGTTTTACTCTAACATCACCTAAAATTGAAAAAAATTTTGATAAATACAGTTTTAAAGAGGCAAATATAGCTGTCAATTTTGTCATTAAATCCCTGTAAGTACAGGCTCAGCAACATTTCGTTAGTTAAATTAAGAAAAAAGCTCTATAAAAAGAACATTAGAAATGTTAGAATTTCTTTTTACGCAGGCATTTGTTTATAAATAAAGATCATGTTTCTTCTTGCCACTTAGGCCGAAAGCTTGGCTAGTGATAAAGAAAGCCTTATTTATGCAGAAGAAACATGGTCTTAATCTATAACAGTAGAAATGCTCCTTTTGCCTGATTGACAGTTAGGGGATCTAAATAAGCTACAARCAATTCCACAGGTACCAGTCACCTGCAATATATATGAAATATTATCATTCACATAAAATTAAAACACCCAAAAACGATGAGGAAGATATTACCAAGTCGTACAATATGGATTGGAGTTKAAGCAACAGTTTTGCTATAAATACATAATAATGTTGCTCTGTTGCCAATTCATTAGAATAATGGCCGAGCATCTTCAGTGTCAAGTCACAAAAACAGACCATCAACAAGAAAAGTTTAAGCTTAACATGTACACAGCAACAATTGTTGATAGAAAAGTTTAGGTTTTTATTGGTTGCTCCACCTGCAAACTAATAAGTCAGCTAGTAATAGCTACAATTTTATCAGATGTTCAGAGAAGTAAATGAGACTCCTATGATAGGCTAGAGAAAACAGAATGGTACTGTAGGGTGCAGAAGTACACACATAACGATATGTACTGATGGTGCTATTCGCTATGTAAACAGTCGTCCAATGTTATTAACAAAGGGCTTGTTTTCAAAGAGCTTTCATATAAGTTTAATCCATGCAGCTTCTAATAACATAACGCCTTGAGTTGCATGTTGACACAATTGCAAGTAAACAACTAAGGAAGAAACCAAACAAGGGACAATAGCTTCGGTAAATTTACTTGGTAAATATTGTATTACACACCTCTAATAATGGTAACACCGTCTTGTAAACAGACWCTCATTATGCTACTTAAAATTTCGAAAGTTTAATTAATTATGCGGCGTACTTGTAAGAAATCTCTTCACATTYAATTAGCAACAAAGCATCTAAGCCTTAAAAAGCTTCTCTTTGTACAAAACGTATAGGAAATCGTGGAATTTGAATGTATCACAGCTGGAATGAATCGTTCGAGTCTGAACCTGACATTTTCGCTAGAACTATAAATTTCATCCAGATCCAACAGAATTTGGAAGGAAAGGAGGATTTTGAACTGAAAGTAACTGAAGTCGGATGAAAACAGTTATCGTAAATTTGTAATAATTGTACATCACAATAAAAGTTTATTTTGAGCGGCAGCCATGCAGAGAGATTATTTATTAGGGCACTGGTAGTTCAAASTATACAGTTAGATACCTTTTCCTTTTTGAATAAACGCTTAAAATCTTAAATGATTGTTATAACTGATGGATAAAGAATATCTCTTGACTCAGCTATAAACTACTCACCTTTGAGCTCAATCACTCGAACGTGGAAGTCGACTCCCACTGTTGGGTCTGAATTCTCGAAAAACTGTCCTTCGGTGAACTGCCGAAGCAAGGAAGACTTTCCGACTGTACTATCCCCAATCAAGATCACCCTAAACTGGTAAAAATACTTGTGTTTAAGCCTTTTTGGTTCCATGTTGTCGAATCTCTTGTAGTTCACTGTGGTCATTCCGTTGTCAATTCCATGCGTACTAAATGTTCGTTTCTTGTTGATCAACCGTTCGATTGTCAACTCTTGTCGATTTCCTGGTGAAGGAATACTTGATCGGAACGTACGATGTGAAAAAAGCTTCGTAGAACTATAAACAGACGAAGCATGAGTGAGTATAAGAACAAAGTTTTGAGATTTCGGCTTGATGCAAATGAGAGAAATTGATATCGTACGTTTTTGCGGACTACGTCAGTTGTTTCTTTCAAAGCAACTTACATCATGACCAAAAGATTTTGATATTTTSACTATACCTACCTTACAAATCACCGATCTGCGGTAGAGATTTGTCTTAAAAGAACTCAGCTGATTTTTGCAAAGCGTTTTTTTGTCACTTCCCCGAGAGAGCCTGAATATGAACCATAAAAACATTAGGCAGTGCCATGTTTGGTAAAACCCGCCAAATATGGAARACTGAGATGTAAATTTGTAATATAATATATCCTATTAATTTTATTTTTAAATTTTAATTTTATTTTTACTTTAAAAAGTATTTATTTTCTGAATATCTCAAGGCTACAAAAGGCGAAAGAAAATCGACAAATCTATATTATTAATTTGTAACATTTAGACCACTCAGTGTCGTGGACAACGAGTTGCTAGTGCAGACACTCGAAGACACGTGACAGAAATATTTATGGAACGCGAACAAAATGGCGGACGAAAGTAGCACAGAATCGGCTTCAAATCAAAGTTTTTGCCAAAAATGCCGCCTTATATTCACAAGGTAAGTAACARTTAGCTACCTAACTTGTGYTATTCTTGTTTGAATATGTTCATTCTGTTCAAAATCAAAGCGTTGTTCAAGAAATGGAAAATAAAGTGATGTTGTTTTTCACGTGTGTAAGAAATTTAACTTGAAGTTTGCTTGATTTCCACCATAATAAACATATCCACMAAACTGTTGCCTATCACAAATACAGCATTCTGATTGGCTACTGAACTATGGTATATTTATGATAGACCATGGTCACATYGAGAGAAATTGTGAGGAGGTGCGCAAACCACCCAGGGAGATACCTGGGTCTATCATCTATTAATGATAAATCTAATAATTAATAATRATWAATGATAATCTTTGTAATTGTAAAGTATWTTAAATTTCTTTTATTCTACAGGAAAATGTTGTTGACCATTGCACTAGGYCAGGTCCTGTCATTATGCCTATGTGGAACGGGAATCTTCAGTCAACTTCTTGAAAACAAATACAACATAGAGACACCAACAACACAGAGTTTTTTTAATTATTTACTTTTAGCTTTGATATTTTTAAGTCAGCTGATTTATAAAGGACAGTTTTTAGTAATTTTAAGAGACAGAGGCTGGAAGTATTTTCTTCTGGGTTTGATTGACGTTGAAGCTAATTATCTTGTAGTGAAAGCATATCAATACACAAATCTTACAAGTATACAGGTAAA